ACGCTTAAACGGAATCTGTTTTTGTCGCAGTTATAGTTGATTAATGAAAACACGTAAAATAATTAATGTGTTGGTTGAAATTATCGTTAGGTTGAGACCAACTTCAATTGAGGCAAAGGGCAAAGGTACTCGTACATGATAGCATTATGTTTGAATACACAGCGGACTGGATTCGTACTACTGGGTGATGTTCATCGAGGACCGTCGGCGTCAAGAATGACGCCCTGTTATAATTTTTCGGGTGATATCGATATTTACGTTAGTAAATAATGTCAAGTCAATTCATCATCGACCATTTGTCCAAAAATAAACAAAGATATATTAAAGTATAAGATTCAGGATCGATCCAGTGTACGGTATAAGGGACATTTACTTTCTAATATCAGGTGGCTGAGTAACATCTTTCGCAGAGTTTCACTTTATGGCCTTTCGATTTAAACATATTTCGCAAAACACATGCAAGCACATACCGTTCGGTTGAATAGAGCGTTTGGTATAGCTGGATAATCTGAAAGTTGACGTTTTAAGCTTATCGTGATTGAAGCTGCCATTACACACTGTCTAGTTCAATACAAGCCCAACTCCGTTACCGGTTACCAGAAAGGTAATCCGTCAAATTCGTTTTAGCCGACCTTAATTATGTATAGCTCAGCTTGTAACGGCACCGTAATAGAGATGATTTTTACTAAGCGGTTGTAACAAGTATGTTTTTTCTTTGCGACCACTCTAACTGAACAGTTTAATTATCAATCGTTTCAATAAGACCGTCTCTGAAGAACGTTTATTGTGTGCCTCTCTTACACTAGCTGACAATGGAGCTTGAAAAAATTGACCAACTTCAAAAAACAACTTCCACATAGAATGGTTACTCATCCAGTTTCTCCGCAAACGTTTTTAAACAGTAAAGTAAGTTATAATTCGCCGACCGTTTCAAGGCTAATCTACCGGTGCAGTTAGAACGGCTCTATACGCAACTGTATTCGAGACCTCGATTTATGGAGGACCTCCTAAATTTAAGGAGAAATGCTGTATCACTTCCTTGTTCTTAAGTTGATGTTTTCCGATAGCTCGACCCATGCTCGCCAACCGAAGAAACACTAACGATCCTTACTAAAAAATATTTACTTACCTTATTCATAACGGTCTCCTTCGGTACATGTTGTTGAATAAAAATTTTGCCATTACTAGCATGCCTAAAAACAATGTTATCGGCCAAACAATTCTTGGAAAATTTTAGAAAAAATAAAAAAAATTTCTTCTTTTTCAATCAGTCGAACAGCTGTGGAATAAGTTCAGAGTCGAAGTTTTTTTTAATAATTGCGGTTTGACATTAACCATAACCACTGATAGATGCTCGAATTGTAATAGTAATAATTCTTAGAGAAAAACGTGTAGGAGCGTTTCCCACCTAAAATCAAAACTTTTCTTTTTTTGATTAGACTAAGCTTCAGACCCGTCCTTACATAAAACCTAGGTCTTGTCGATGTCTTCGAAACGGCATGCTTAAATAAGATGACCTTATGTCCTCGTACTTTGCCTTCGCCATTGCCGATATAAATGCAATATAAGCCTGGTTCTGCAATTACTCTGGATATCTAAATTTTCAAACAAATATGCTTGTTGTCTTAGGTTAATCACTTTATGACTTCTAGGACCTACGATAATGTGGATAAAAGAAGTTCAATTAAAAAATATCTCGAGTTACCTTCTATAACTCGTCAAAGTACGCCTGATTGTATGGTACAGGTTGAGTAAGGGGTCCGACAAAAGATAGAGGTGCGCAATTTTTAAGATAAATTATTGCTACTAGCATGGAAGTTTTAATTGAGCAGACGACACAAAGGCGTGCAGCACAGAACAATACCTACAGTACTGAGTAGATCTCTTGTTTTTCTGCGAGCACATCATTTAGATACTAAATCTTTCGAATGTAAAAAGCAGGTACACATTTGCGAAGTTCCTTCATCAATCTAACACGTTCAGTCGAAATATAAACAAGTATATAAATGGAGATAGGGCTCCGTTTCGTACCGAAACGTTGATTCAAAATGTTGACGCTACCAAGGTTTCAGAATTTTCGAGATGAACACGAATCAGCCTAGCTTTCTTCTTTGACCAGGTCGGGACTGTCTGAAACAGCTACTTTCTCTGTACATTATTGAATTATTATGGAACTTCTAGTATAACTTCGCCTGTGCCAAAGTTATATTTACAGAGAAAACTGAACGACAGCTAAGCTTTGTAAAGACAAATACACTGCAGTGTAAAAAAGACGTGTGACTTTCTCGACACAACGTCTCCTTCGGACAAAACAATACAGTACATACCATACTCTGGATAGTTATGGCCACAGATCAGAATTTACTATGTATAATTATTTATAGCATTGTGCATAAAACGATAACTATGCAGGCTTCAGTTCGATCAAGTTAGTTTCAGAAAACGGTGCCCACATCGTTAGTCTATTCCCTTCTCAAACAGTACGCCATTCATTGATGTGCTAGTATTTGGACCATTCAAAAGCCAGCTTTTTTGTACTGCACAATGGAAGTTCCATGCGTAGCATTAATGTCGGCCAATCATAATCCTTTACCCGCTTAATTTAACACCAACAAATTATTATGGGGCACTGACTTCCCTCGCCACAGTCACCGCCGTTCCTCTAATTTTAATTAAGCATTTTTCTCTAATTCTTGTTAAATGGCTCCCCATTGACACGAGATCATTGATGACCCATTTATATATGGTTTTATAGACAAGATATATATGGTTTTTTCTTTTCCACGGCATCGGTTGTCTTCAACAATCGCATTAAGCAAATTTTAGCGCAGAGAAGCATGCCGTCATTTATATTCAAAGCTGGAGAATCTCAGCCGCACCGTCCGGGTTTGCGAGCTGCCTGAAATCTGTATCTGAGAGCTATGAAGTCCTGTATTGAACAAATATAATGGAAAGTTTTGTTCTTCATTAAATTTGATCTAGTTAAGAAAGAATATTTCAGGAACCAGTGTTTAGTCGCAGTAATTTTATCGCATAAAACTTGAATGGCCCGTCTGAAAAAAACACAGAAAGCTATTGATTAAACAAACAGATCTCACGGCAATGCTCACGGCAACATATACTCGATTGCGTTTTGCAATCCTCCATTTTGATTGCTGAGTTTACCGGAAGTGTTTTAGCAAGTAAGCGTCAGGTCATGGATTGAAAACATTGGACGATATTGCTTTGTGACTTACAATGACTCGTTTCTTGGGGGGACAAAAATACGTCCTCATGCTTGTCCGTTCGCCGTGGAATCGCTGCGTTCCAACCGTTCAACAACAGTGTTTTTAATTTCTTTCCTAAAACATATTTCCGCTCAAAACTGTTTAACTACATTTCTATGGTGTTCTCATCTCACAAGAGTATTGACTGACAGCGAACGAAAGGCAGCGCAAAAAATGGGCCACTTCGCACTTGAAGAGAAGCTGTGGGGGGGATACGAAGGAAAAGAGCCTTCTAAATTCGATTTGATCATATTACAAAGTTTTGTTTTGTCATAGGCTGCACGCCAGCTTTGGCCTTGCCGTCAGCGACGTTTGCTCTTAGAAAGTATAGCTTGGCATACGAAGTTGCCAGCTACTTTTCCTCCACCGAGTGAAGTCCTTTAGACAAAAACGAAGGGTTAATCCCCGCCAGCCTACAACATGATACCGACTGACCCGCAAAGATTTTGGTGCACCGGCCAGTCAAGGTACCGGCAAGCCTTACGCAAGAGCTGACGCTGCCCCTGTGCACCTTCGACAAGACTTCATCTTGCTGTTGTTGTCGTTCGCCCCCAACAAAATGTCTGATTTCATGAGGCCATTTTAGACATATTCATGCACATTTCCATTTTGTTGTACATACTACATACAATTTAAGAAGATACGAACAATCGATCTGCAACAATCACTTAACTATTAAAAGGTTCGGCATTGCTGTTAGACATAAGCCTCCAGCAGTGTGCCTGTGCCACAGCTCGAACCTGTCACTACTGCTAGGCATATTTAAGGCTTTCTTTTACATTCTGTTACCAATTTATCATTAAATGAGCTTAACGTATTCTATTTTCCTGTTACCAGCTCGGCCTTTTAGGTTTGAGACTTAGAACATAAGCCCATTATCACTCCTGACACAAATTAAATCTAATCAAATGAACACCCATCGCACCAACCGGTACAAACGAGCCTGCTGCTTCTAGAATACTCTAGCTTGAACAATGGCAATTTAGTTCATCCCAAAATGGACGTCCATGCCCTCTCAAGCAAACACAATACACTTAATTGTCTCGACCATTCATTGTCCTATAGCTTGTTGCATTGAATAACCTATAACAATCTTGGCTGTTTCCCAAAGCGATGGCAGCAAACAGCGCTCGGCTGTGCGCTCGTATGCGTTACAACCTGCAAGATTTTTTGATGATTTCATCACGGTGGTTAGTTTCAGTCGTTTGGGTTGCCATTTTCGATCGCCTCATGTCTCTGATTTGTTCTGATCTTTGCTGCTTTGATTACTCTTTTCGCTCTTATACTCGTTCCTTACCTTTTCTGGTTTCATTTCTTTTTCCTCCTTCTTCATCATTAGTTTAGTTTACTATGGAGAGCCCACGAGAGCGGCTTAACGGCCACGCTTCTGTCACACTTTAACTACTTTGGAGGCCGTAACAAGCAATGTATCTTCAGCGTTCAGCTGCCAGCCAGCTTGTACTCGCCTCCCTTAATTGTAGTTTGTGCAGCGTTAGGTTGTTCCGTAGCGGAGTTGGAGCTGTTTAATGATTAGAACGATCAGTCCTCGACTTATAAAATGCTTTACTGCCTTTAGAACACTTTAGAAAAATGTCTAGTTATTATCTATTGTTGAGAGAGTTCAATTACGTATAAAGTTCGACCACTAAGTTTGACAGTTGTCGATGTTATCTCTTTGCATTATCTATATTAGGGCCTTCATTGAGCTAACTTCTCTGTAACAGAGTTTGGCTTTGGGGTACAGTCAAGTATTAGTTAGTAGATTTCCTGATATGGCTGTCTGCTAAATTCAGAGTATGGACAGAGTATTTGCACTCAACAGGAAAAAAACGACGCAAGTTAATATGTGGTGAGTAAAATGCTTTTATTACTTTTCTTCAACTTCATAGATCTTTTGAATTTTATTTGTCAGCTTTTATAAGTTATGCTTGACATCAAAGTACAGGTAAACCTGTTCCAAAGTGACCCATTCCTTGCTTTTATCGTTTTCAGGATTATTAGAATACCATTTGACAATAACAACAATCGCCTTGGATTTAATCCCATAAGATGCCAAATATACGGAACCTAAACATTTAAAATAGATTGTAGGATAGCGTTCAGTATATGATTTTTTTCTCATGTATCTGTTTTTCAACTTCTTTTTTGTCAATTATACGTCGACCATCTGTTATTATACTTACGTCACAACTTTGGCTTAATCCGTTTGGTTTATGTGTATTTGCGTGATTGCATTGCATAATTTGATTGCGTGTGGGCGAAATTTCGAGGTTTCGCCCTGACCTAAAGGTATATACTATTTCGAACGCCTGTAAACCGCTCTTTCGTTCTCTTGGCCTTCCATGATATCTGAATTTCGTTTTCTTATTACGATTATCTTATTCGTACAGGCGGAGAGGTAACGATTCTAATGAACGCTAGTCTCTTCCTTAGTCACCTTTATTGGCTTGCTCAGGTAGTAATAATAAATAATACAAATAAATATTAAGTGTTCAGGTTTTACAGTGTGGAAAGGACTCTGCACGCGTTTCAGTTCGACGGTGAATGCTACGAACACCTCAGCTTAAGGAAAATAAATACATTCATTGTATCTGAGAACAACGCGCAACACTGCTCTAGCGCTGACCCCTACCCAACTCCGTCATTCAAACAGCAGCTGATACGGGCTGAATACCCAGTAGTAGAACAAGCGCGCCTATTGGACGGGAGCACTGAGTAAAGGGGGTCCACAATGCACAGTGTGCGTCTGTAAATATTTCATCTTCATATGCATGGGTGCTCCCCTGACAAACTGTCTGGGTCTGCGTCCACGGCTGTATACTGCACCTCATCATTCTGCAGCGATAACTTCAACCCCGCATCCTGTATCCATTTTATACAGGATGAAAATATGTGTGTGTGTGTGTGTGTGTGTAGTTGTATTGTGATTTACTACGCTACTTGTTCAAGTTTACTTAATTTTGAACTTCATTTTGTCTTTTCTGGTTTGTTTTCCTAGTTAGTCGATTCGCTGATCTTTACGATCCATAGACTAGAAGGCCGAATCGAAGGATTTTACGAGGAGTGATTCCTGTTCCGGTTCAAGTTCCTTACTCAACGGACTCGTGCCTATCGATAACCGAACAAGAAATAACATAAACGCAGAAATCGAAAATTGCCATTTAGCACCAGTAGTGTTAATATTTCATATACTAATACTTCGTGTCTTCAACGGGACGCTCTATCCGACGAGTAACTTTTTTTTTATTTGATATACACGGTGAAAGCGTTCGCTGTTCATCGTGCCTGAGGTTGTAAACTGCAACTTATTGTTAGAAAATCAGCGGTTGCATACTTCATCTAAGGCAGAACTTTACGGTCGCTTTAACTTTCGCTATCCATACTAAGAGGTACTTGTGATCAGACGACCTTTTATCGCCCTATAGCTGCTAGTGGTTTCTGCAAAAGGATAGAAAGTAAGCATTGTTGAAAATAGCTAAGGCTCTAGGTGCGCAATCCGCAATAGTTTAATCCGGCATAATTTTAATTTCTAACCTGGGCAACAATCGGGCCAAATGGTCGTCGCATGTTGGCTCACAATTGCCTACTTGCTGTACATATATAGTAGCTATTTTGGCCGACAGAACATCATACAGGACGCTTTCTGCAAGACCTTTATCTAATAGACCTTCTCGGCACATCAATGGCTGTCAATTGGTTAATTACGCGTGAATATTTTTGTTTGTCATCAATATTATAGGCTATGTTCGAATAGACGTTCCTATCTACCCGGGCCCAGGCACGGGTTATGCTACACGTGTTTGTTCGCGACTCTTATTTTCACCGACTAATATGACATGCAATACTCACATCGTTTCCAGGCTTTTAGAGGCGGTGCTAGTACAGGTGTGTGACTAGTAGATTCTATAGACGAATCGCGTCCTGGCGGTTGAGATTCGTAGTTCATTGCCCGTACCGCGCTGAAAGCTTGTGTATTCATAGAATTCAGGCCTGTCCACTGGGAAGAAAGAAGAGTATTGCGCGCCGAGTCTTCTGCACAGAAGTATATAATAAGCCGGCCATATCATAATAGATTTATATAATCGCGTTCGGCCACAGATCGTTACATAAACCTTAGTGTTTCAATTTCCGATCTATAACTACCAGAGTAATGAATTAGCATAGTATTTAAGCTTGCAAGAGGATTACAGGGTCTAATTGTGGTGAACTTGCGGTGCCTACAATATTTTCATATTTTATTTACATATTCATGTTCAAGTAACGAAATTTAGCAGTAAAAACGAACGCTTCAAATGTCCTGGGTATTTCCTTTTCATAGTGTGTATAATAAACCCTTAGAAAGGCTTAGAATGGATCGACTGGGTTTTTAATAATTTACCTTTGTAGAAGGATTCTGCTCAAAAGAGCAAAAAAATTTAATTTTATTATTATTTTGGGAGACTCCATTATATTATTAATACATATATCAATTAATTCTATCTTGCCTTGCCTAAATTAGTTGGACTGGGCCCTTTATGAAGGATGAATATTCTTAATGCATATATTTAAATACATATATTTACGATTGGAAAGCGATGTGTACTACAGAATAACCTCCACTTAACGCTGTTACAAGTGAAACATAAATAAGTGCTCCCGCTGGATGCTGGTTTACCGCTGATTACTAGTTTAGACATTTGGCTATTTCTTGGGGCTTTGCTCTTGCAAAAATCAGTTACACGTGACTGTTGTCCAGAAGATTTAGCTCAGGACTAACGCTGGCCGTATGCATAGAAAATATCTGTACAATACACTACCTTGTACCAATAAGGCCACTTGGCTTGCCATCATCCGTTATCTTTTACGGCTTGAGAACGCCTAACTCCGATTAAATATCCTCCACAACAACTACAGTAGGTTAGGTTAGGTTAGGTTAGGCTAGGCTAGGCTACTTAGGTTATCACTAGAATTTATATTTTTAGGTGGTATTCTCGTCGTTGTTCTTCAAATGCTCGTTTACACGTCTAAGCAGGAATTTAATACAAACATCAATAGCTTTACGTAGTGCAAACATTAGTCTACATGTATATACATTTTAACGTCCCGCACTTCACTGTTGTTGTCCTTTAACCTTATTCTTTGTGACGCCTAAAAGCTCAGAAAAATTCTGCCTTTCTACAGGAATACAACTCATTGCTTCCTCATTTTTTCCCTTCGGAGAGGAGGATCTAGGTTTTATACTTATATATATATATATATATATATATTCAATGGATCGCTCTTTGCTAAGCGTTCCAAGTTAAGGCCGTCAAGGACACCCCTTTGTCAGGATTTTTCCGCAGCAAGGCGCGTGCATAAGTGATAAAAGACTGTTGACATATTCACTGGGTAAACAGAATATAAATGGCACGCTGCATAGGCGTTACCCGCATGGGAGTCGCATGGAACTTTTTCCACGAGCTGTCATATTAGGATTGTATGTATGTATGAATAATAAGCCAACTGGGGTTTATACCGCAGAAAGATTATGCTTTACAAGCCAAAGAGCGATGGCTTTTTTTTTAATATATCACGATAGTACACCAAATGCATACATAGTGAACACATGTAACAGAGTATATAGGCATTTTATTAACCAATTAAAATTAGATTTGCACTGGGGCGGCGGAAATAGTTCGGCAAAGGGCTAGTTCTCAAGATATGTATTTGTAAACTTGATTAAAGCTGGTGGGAGATATTTGTTTTTTGCTGGCTTTTTTCTAACCCATGCATTACACGCGAATATGAGCCATTTGAAAGCTGCGCATTGCCATGAAGATCATCCGCTGGTGCTAACATCGTATATGTATGCGTAAGAAAAAAGTACTTTTGCTTGATATACTGCGTCCACTCACTCTCAGCGTATGAAGGATTGTATATAACTAGCCTATGTATTTCTGTTATTTTTGGGCTATCTGTATATTTCCTATTTCTGCTACCATCCATAAAGATAAACAAGTGGTCTAACGACTTAGTCCACTGTAGTCTCAACTGATGATATTCTGAACCATCGAAAATGCCGCTAGAAAAATAGTCAATTTTATAGTTAAGGTCTCTCTAGAAGCAGAAGCACAGAAGAAACGAATTTGAATTTAAATTCATGATGAAGGCTATGACGACAGATTACAGACCTTGAAGCTGGCTCTATCTGCCGGTTTTAATATAGTACATAATAAGGATGCACGCAAGTATTCAGTATACGTTAAGCGCTGGAGTATAGTAAAAGGACTTGATAAGGATATTTGCACTTACCTTGTGATTTTCGGGAATGAAATCCATCAGCCCGAAACAATCTGCCTCTTTCCGGTGTGTTATACTGTAACACGCCAAAGAGATTCGAAATTAGCCCTTTCCATTGTTGTCATCTTTTTTCAGTTAGCTAACGTTGTGGGTTAGTAAGCTGGAAGGCGTCTAGTCAGGGTGCATCCAGCCGGAGTGGGTGTTGCTGCGCTTAACTAAAAAGTTTCTTCAGCATACCTATGAAACTGGTTTTTCCATTCTAAGAGAGCTTATTCATCTATTATCTGTTGTAGATCTGAATGAGCTTCGTTCGATAGTAAATGCCTCTCAGTACCGCCTATTGTAGTTTCCGAAGCAATTTTCCGGGTATGCGAAGAAACCCATCATATTGTAGTGCAAGGCGATTGACTCGTACTTTAAGGGTTAACCTGCTTCTGGCAACAAAATAGACTTAATTACCCCTAATGAATCTGCTGGCTGACGGTGAGTTCGCATACTATATGGACTTCCCAAATGATGTTGTGGGGATGTCGTTCGGGAGAATTCGAAAACGAACTGTTCCACATCCTGTAATTGACAAAAATACAATTTACATTGTATACCCATGCTAGCTCATGATCTACTATTAGCAAAAAATATAAAACCCACAGTGTACTAGTTGTGCTTCCTTGCCGTAGCTATGTTAACAAAGCGTTTGGTTGAATTTAATCTGTTCTAACTAAGAAGTAATCTGGTCTATTTTGGCCAGTTATATGCTAACATACCTGTCGCATAATTTTCGACATGTAAGAATTGTTTCTAAACGGTGTCTGTAGTTGAAGCTAAAGTAAGGTTAAGGATTCCTAAATTCTCTCGAACCTATTCTTTTAACAAGCCAGAGGTTGCTCTTTAGACTGAAGGCGGTCGAGAGTCCTGAGGAAAAAGCTCATATCTTCCTACAGCGTACAATCGCTCACATCACCGTTACTCCTAATACATGTATTTCAATATGCCCTAACGTTATAGACTAAATTATATAATTAAGAGAGAGATATCTTCTTCTATCAGAGGGTAGGCGAACCCGGTCGGACTCGAACGTCACATCGCTGCCTTTGCTCTTTTACATTCAGGTAGCTACGGTGCTCGGCAGTAACAAGTAGGATCACACGACGAACGTCAAAGCTAAATGCCTGAGTGCAGGCTCCTCGGCCAGAAGGCGGGCCAAAAATACTCTATGGAGGGCCTACGGCGGCACAAAAGACATCCCAAAGCTACAGCCTATGCAATACAACATAAATCAGGATCTTCTATTATGTAGTATCACTGTATCGTTGTTCAAGCGTATTAGTTTCATTTAGTTATGATCAAGCCTGTCTGCCTTTACCCATGCAACACGTTTGGAACCATATTCGTCACCACCAATTTTGTCAGCTAACCATCTTGGTCTTATAATGAACATTCAATTGAGAGATTTTTATCAATAGGGCTGTAAAAACGCACACGGATTATACTACTATTGTTTTTTTTATATCCAACTAATCTCCATACAGTGTTCGCCTCAACAAGTCAAGCACGTTCTAATAACAATTTCATCTGCAACCCAACGAGCGTGACGACACATTGAGTACACTTCATAGTAACTACTATAATGATAGAAATCTGTATAACACGTGACCTTGAGTGATCGCCCTTAGCTAGAAATAAGGAGGCCTGCGTCGTATGCAGTTGCACTATCTTATAGGCACTCCCCGGGAACAAGATGCCTAGTTGTGTCTCCTATCACGAAGTCACCTTACTATTTTCGGTCTACTTCATCGTTTCTCTAAACTGGAAACCCAACGTACAAATCTAAAAAATGAAACAGTCGATCACATAGCGTAAGCGTGTCTGTAAGAAGAATAATAGCTTTCTATTGTCTTCGTAGTTTTAAACTTTTGAGCATCTTATCTTCAATAAAGCGGTAGACATACAAAGAGCAACCGGTAACACACACACATAGAGGGGTATTAACGCGGTCGCGTGCGAACAGAAGCGAACGCAGCCTACTAGTTCTTCAGCCTTTGTTATCCTGTAAGCACAGGTACCCATATGGCATAAATCTTCATAAAGCACATTTAGTAAAAGATGCTCAGTCGACCTCTACCTAGTCTATGAATAATAATAAAATTGATCTGTTAATAGAAACATCTGTTCTTTTACAAGAGAATTGACGACCGTAAGCCCGATGCGTAGGAAACACGTCGAAACATTTTACCGCTTTGTTGTGGCCTCTTAGAAACGTTAAATTGAAATGATGGCACTCAAACGATTAGGCATATTCAGCCAATGAGCTTGTCCATAATGAAAAAAGGCTGCAAATCGTTGTTGCTTTTACGTGAATACGATTGCATGTCTTTTTACCAGTAAGTCACACAGGTATTGTGGGACCATAATTTCACTTATGTAGCAGATCAAACAATCAATAACCGACAGAGGCAAACATGGTATATAGATCTTCAAATCGAAGCTGACGTTCCGTAACCTCAAGCTGCTCCTTGCGGGTTTCCGCAAAGGACTGAAGTAGGTCCAGCTATGCCATAGGCTTTGTCCTACACAACTCCCGTAACAATGCCTAACCATGGATCATGTCCATTAGAGTCTTTTAAATTTTTCTGAGAACCGTTACATAGCTTGTGATATTGTTTCGATAAATAACGACATAGCGTCGTACCTGCATGCAACGGTCGGTACGAGTAACCATGTTGTCGTTCGAAGCAGACGAACAAACAGATACTGCGGTATAATCCCACGTTCAAATCAAGTATCTAATCAAGGAAGTATAATCGCTACATATACGCACTATTCAAAGACCCTATTAGCAGTCTGACTTAGCATCTATACACATATGCAATAGAACTAGATGGGATCAGAGAGGATCCCACTAGAGACTTCAAATGATTGGAACTGCTGATCTTCAGTTCATGATAATGATAAACATATACATACAAAATAGAGTATTGTAATTGTTAAAGAGCTTCTCGCGAACTCTATCGCGAAGTATTTTCTGAAGCTAGTTAGCTTCACTGTAACAATGAAAACTGTGACAAGAGGAAAGTGGTGCTGGATTTTGCGTACTTCGTGATGTATATCTCCAAATGATCCCAAAAAATATCGATGTTTCTGTATATCAATCTGAAGGGGAGAGAGAAAAAGAGAAGAGTGCCGCTTGGGTGCAACTCGTGAAAAAATCCGCGATTTGGTATTTTGAAAGTGTTTAGTCGAATGATCAGTCAGTAATTTTAAATTACATTTGCATTTGTAAATAGTAACTAAAAAATAACAAATTACAATTAGTGTGCTAAGCATGCAGCAATGTTAGATTTCAACGGTGGTGGGGGCACCGCCTCTCATTCATCCTCTATTGTTTTATGGTAATTAGACGCCTCTTTTTCTGTCAGCCGTGTGGCGCAATCGCTACAAACTGTACTTGGATTCATGCAATGCTGTGCTATTTTATTAGGTACAAAAGAACACAGTATAACTGTAACGGTAATCAGATAATGCCACCTCTTATTGGTACGTGAGATTATTTAAAAATATGCAAAAAAAATGTACGTAATTGCCAGACTTCTTCCTCAACCTGGCTCTTACCTGTGGAAACATCGGGGGCGGAGATCGAATCAGATGTTGGTGTAACCCTTCGTGTCGATTGTCCATTTGTGAAGTTAACGACAAAATGTCCTCGTCTTTTGGACTTGACGAGAATAGCAGCTGTTGGTGATCTTCGGGAACCGTCGCTGGTGAATCTGACATCGGTTGGTCCTGTTCCACGTAATTTTGTACCACATACACAGCTCTAGTATTTGTATGTAATAAGGGTAAAAAAAATATGACCTTCAAAAGCCACGTCTATACTTTAGAAATCGAAAGTTTTATGGCCAGCAATACAATTTCATTGAACGGTGCTTGAGACCCGGCAACCTTAATGATAACGATAGCAAGAACATAGGTTGTCAGAAAGTGACCAGTTATTTGACGGAAAGCCACTATGAAAGTGTTCATTCGCAGTTTTATTTCCAAGTTAGACTGTCTCAAATTTCTCTGCAACAGAGGAAAGCAAACGTACACCAGGCAGACAGGGAGCCTTCAACTAACTACCTCAGTGACGAAGCTGTGGATCAAGACTAGGCGTATTTAATCTATTATTTCCGATATCTTAGTTACATGGCGAAGTGCGTCTTAAAGACAAGCTGAGAGTCAGCTGCCGAAAAGATACAGTGCATTATTCTTATATAGCCCTAAGACTTTCTACGACATACCCCGCTGGTGACCCTGAATGATAAATCGCGTCTGTTGAGCTGGAACCCTGTGTCTCTAATTAATATTTATAGTTAATATATAGCAATTTTGCGCAACGTAATTCAACGTGCTTGTTAGCGCGTCAACTCGGGCATAACTATAGACTCTAAGTAGGCTTTTTACAGCCGACCCGTCGTGCGTCTTCGTCGGCTGATGATAAGCGAGCTGCGTCATTAAATGTGGCGACCGACCTGGGGATGTAGCGAGTGTCCGTCAAATCTGGATAGGCCCTCCGAGAGAACAGAAAACTTTTCGATTTGCTGCTGGATGTAGGGGTTGTCTTGCCGGCTCTGGCGTAGCATCTCCATGTCCTCTTGGAGACTTCGAGCGTTGCGTAACGATGGCGAGATCGAGAGGATGTCTTCGGCGGAAGTGGCCTGCCGGAAGCGACCACAGCCCCCCGGAATGCTTAATGGTGAACTAGGTCGCAAGCGGGTGCTGCAAAAAGATCGAAGGCACACAACAGAGCGCTCAGTGCCTGTGTCAGCTCTAGAATAAATTTACTCTATCAAATAGGACATTTACCATGCGCTATTAAATGCAATGGCCCACATACCCATATTTCTTAGCCATTAACGGTTTTATTGGCTACATCTTTAAGTATACGACCTGTAACATAGCGAGCATTCCTTTTCGGCCAATAGCTAAAGGTCACAAAGGTGGTGATTGTGGCTAATTATAGCAGTTATATGAAAATTATCTCAATCTGCTAACATTGAAATTGAAAAGAATTCTGTTAGGCCTCTCACCGAAGCTATCGCCATCAGCAGCATAGGGAAACCATCAGCACCGACATTGCCGCCCGTCAATTGGGAGCTGCTGATGCCAGAAATATTTTCTAATAATTTCGAAGTGGACACGTTTGAAAGAATACAATTTTTCGCAGTATTTCAACTAATCATAATTTTTCAATATTTCGGTCAATTTGGATAGAACCATCTATTGAACCCAGGTCTACAAAACAGCTTTGCATAGTGATACTCGACTAGAAGTTCATACAATGAATGACCCATAATGTTTATGTGATATCGAAGAAATAGTCTCAGGCAATTATCTTTTCCGTTTTGTTAAGGTGGTCATGAAAAATATGAGATTTAAGATAAGCTTGGCGGTACCAAATAACTTACAAAGCCCTACTCGCCTACAGTGGTACGTATGCAGACTAAACGCTTCAATTTCACTACTGACATTTTTAAATGTCTTAACTTTTCTTAGTAATAATGTATCATATTATATGCGCATTGTACAAAATGATTATAAATCATCACTGGCTCGTACGTTCAACTATGTCCATTCAACGATACGATCGTTTCTTTTTTGTACATGGTTTCCTTCTGAGCAGGTCGACTAATTTGATGTCACTATAAAATTGATGCGTTAAGAAGCATAAGATTTTAGAACGCCATAGATGGCACGATATAATTTTCTCGTGCAGGCACCCTGCACGACGTCTCCCGCGCCGACGCACGTTGGTTCCTAGATTGTGAAATTGATAAATAACAGGAACGATATCTTTTAATAAAGTCTTCTATTCAGAGATCATGTTTAGGGCTGGATTTTGATAATCAACAATAACAGAGAGCTTTTTGTTTGTGTTCCGTCTCCGATAAGGGAAGACAAGGCCGTGAACGAAAAAGAAACACTTTAATTTGCTTTCTTTAGGACAGCGAACGTGTTCATTATCATATTGTATGTACCATGTGTGTGCCTTTGCGAAACATCCTACACTTCGAAATAAGCTCTGTTAACAGAGAGGGCTCTTCCGAGAAGCTATTTTTGGTTAGGTTGTAGGATCTGTTTGACAGTCATTCTTTGAACTTACAAATGATAAACATACCTGGTTCGCGGCTTATTTTACTTCGTCTGTTATAACGACTGAGAAACAACCGTGTTTGTAGGGGGCGGCCCATAATCCGGACATATGGTTCTAATAAACAGACTTTCTCATACTCCGACTATATATGTATGTATATATATACATATATATATATATATATATATATATATATATATACAAATACAAATAAAAGCAAAAAATACTTCATTCAATGGCTAGCAAACGACGCTCAATAAAAGTAATTAGTTTTTATTTATTCGAACTTAATGGGATTTTTCTCGGCTTATACTGTAAGCTGATTAAAATCAACTTGGATCTTATGATACATATATAGTTATCTATGTGTACCGACGATCCCGAAAAAAAGCTCCAAACGTCTATCACTTCTAGGATAAGTTGAAGAAAAAATCGTTTCGATGTCAGCAATATGGAAACTCCCTCAGAGTTGAGACAGCGGTGTAGATTGGCGCACAATGTTTACACAGGTTATCGTGCAGAGTTAATATCTTGTTATTAAGTAAAAATTAGTTTGTCTAGTTAATATACACAATTTGTTTCTGTTGTTGTTACGATTCTCTAGTTAAAAATAGCTGAATCACGGCGTTGACCTGTAGAGCAACCAAAGAACATATATATGTATCTAGTAAATACTATGGCTGTTTGTGACTAGCGTCGCCATGATCATCGTTATCCACGTTTTGTAGACCGTGACAGAAGGGGAATATTTTATATTTGATCCAGCGAAATGAATACTCACGGCAAACATCTTTCTTGCATATAACATAACTTCTCCTTTAACACAATAAATCAAGCTCACCCTAAGCTAAGGGTGGGCGAACAAACGTGCCCATTGTGAAAATGATTTGCGTGGTGATGCCTCGTAAAAGGGTTAGCTGACAAGGGCCTTTGGAGCGATTGCCCTCCTCCTGCTTCGCCCGCGCCGCAACTCAGCTCATCTACGAACTCGTCATCGAGAGGATCTGCATTTCGTCGCCTAGAGATAAATCACATCAAAAAAACAGTCAAATGTATTACGAATCTCGTCTTTTTGCCTAAAAACGGCCGATGCTCTCGGCAGCAAATTACTCTATTATAACTAACACGACTGTTCGAAAGATTTTACGAAGTTCAAGGAAGTGTTCTGAACCTAAAGGCTAAACCTCATCCCGAGTAGATAAACTGCAAACGTTACTCTATTATTAGGCACCTTGAACATATGGAATTTTATCACATATTAGGAAACCCGGCGCCCCATAGAGCGGGTGACAAACGCAAGAATTCACGGATTCTCATTGACCTTTAGTATCTGACCGTAGCAAGGCAATGATAGATAGGTTCGTACACAGAACTGTGACGGCTAACAACGACTGATGTCTCCATGGCGATATAAAATAGCAACAGATAATTCCCGAAAATACGCCTATGCTTCGAGTTAAGTAGATTACAATTTGCCTAGGACTAGAAAGGTTTTATGAATTGTGGATAAATTGCAGACCTCAAAACTCCAGTAAAAGAAACGTATATATTTTTCTAGCATTAGTGACATTGTAGCGGAGAGTCATGACAAACACATAATGAATTCATTCGCTTCTATAATCCGAGTAAAGCACTGGGCTCATTTTCAGGTAAAAACCCCCCTAACTTATGTTACAGCTCAATAATTTCTGTCTAACATCTGTAAGTAACATTTTTGCGTTCGAGCTGTACAATCCTACAACTCCACGCGTACCTTTTGGCGCTAACACGCAAAGCCTTCTGTCACGCCTAATTTCGTTCTGTATACCTCCTATTTTAGATACCTGCGCCATGGATTGGTTACGTCTAAACTTTGTAACTTATCGTTTTTTCCTTAGGGCCATCCTCTTGTCTCCCATTAGAATACTTTTCTACTCTCACTATCTGTAACATTAAAAGTATACGCGGGACCCTATTCAGATGATTTCTCTACGCAATCGACCGTAGTCATGTGCACCGACGTCATTGTCCTAATCATCGAAACATCCTCTATGCCAGTCTTTCTACTATTTAGAATACTTCTTCATAGCGAGCGTAGAACTTTTAGGCCGCTTTAAGTCTTTATCACTCCATTTTAATATCCGCTTTATTCCTCGGGGAGACTTGAGTCTAATGTATGGCACAATATCTCGTTTGCTCAGTTTTCCTTTTGAGCAGAAGCTAATGATGTACTACAAGATTATGGTGTGCCGCTTTGGCGAGTGTTTACATTATGAGTTTTACAAATTTATCCGGGGAGCTTATTTATTATTTCATAAGATCAATTCCCTGCGAGATCGTCACAGCTGTAAGTTAGATAAGTGGAGTGGTGAACAGAGATTTCGATTTAGCACTTGAAAAGTGACCAAACTGCCTCTGCTTTTCATCGGCCTCGATAATTTTTGGCCTGGTCTACCGAGAAGTTCGCCCGGTAAATAATTACAGCGTTGCGCTTTCAATTTATATATATTACATATTGAATTTATAACATACAGCACTCAATCGTCCGTGTTGACAGCGTGGTGGCAGGTATAACGGGGGGAAAAGAAGGGGAGCAAGGGGCGACAAAAAGGAGGGAAGGGTAAATAAAGACGCAGTGTTACTGTTTCTAGCCGACTAACAGTGGCCATCGATGAAAACGCGGTCTAGATACATCAAGAGCGTTGCGGCAACGGAAAGAATTCAGAAGCTAGTCTCGTCCGCTAGCAACGGAAAGGAAAGGAAAGGGATGGGAGATATGCTTCTGTCGTAGATTCAAGTGTTTCCATCTGGTGGATAACATAACGAAACAACAGCACGGCTATAAGATGTGGCTTCTTCAAGAAAGCGATTGCGCAAATAATCTAGCCTAGTTTACTCTATTCATACGCTACGCAACTTCGATGCCAGAATCCCGTTTAAAGATAAACGCATAAATTACTGCCGGACATTATTTATTTTTCATACGAATGAACCGAAGTTTGCGAAAATATCCAATAGAGCAAACACTTTTCCAATGACTTTGTATACACACAATACCACCTGTTTTGGCTTTGTTGTCACATGCAGCGGACTGTCTAGCGGGGAGCAGAGACCGATAGGACGTATGCAAAGCCATAACACGTCGATTGTTCTTTTTTGCTCCATATTCCTTTTACAGACGGCGTATAAATCCTGATATTTCACAACTACTCGGGTGCTGCCCAAAAGCCGTAGTGATTATTGTGTACATCTTTCAGATACGTGAGTTCGGAAGAATATTTGCTCAAATAAATGTTTACGAATCTTAATAGATTAATTAAGCTATATATAAAGCATTACAAGTTCTTCATAATTGTTGTTCAGCATAAAACAGACACCCCTGGCCCCAAAAGAACGAGGACCCCTTCTCTGACATATGCTGATTGTGAACACAATATTAGCGCAATTATCAGCAGCATTCTCGTAACAGCTATGGTCTTCGATACCAGACCTAAAGCCAGAAACCTTGTTCTCCGCCCCAACATCGACGCGAGCAGTTCTCGTTAGCAAACTAACCTGAGAGACTGCTTTTCCCAATGCTCCTGTATAATGATAATAGTAGTAGTCTCCTCGGATTTGGTCTGCGGGTTTATGCGCATCGTTGATTTTGAAACTGTAAGCCGTTCAGATTATTTTTTTCTTTTATTAATTAACATCATTGAAGCAAAGCAGTTGTTTGATAATATACCGATTCATTTCAGATTCATCCGGCCTCAACCCAATCCTATTTACTACTAGCCTCTTTGAGAAGAAACACATGTGAAAGCTTACTACTAGTGAATCACTTGAATAGAGCACTTAACGCTTCGAACTTACTTGAACATGTTAGTGATGACCTGAAGCGGATTTCGAGTTCTCGAATTTCCGAAGACTTCACCAAGGTAATCAGCTTTATTCATTATTTAGTTCTCCTTTTACACGAGTTCCCAAGCTCGTTCCCTAAGTTAAAACACCGTAAGCCTGAAAGCAAAGAGAAGCAGAATTATGAAATGTTTGCATCATTGGTGCACTTCAGTGCAATTCGCGCAGCTAGGCAGCGTGCGTACCGGCGGCGCTTGTGATTGACCTGATAGCTCAGTGTGTAGGAAGTATAAATATAATACAGACAATTAAATTTATATGCACGATACTAAATGTGGACGCACTATTCCCTTAGGTGGTCAATAAGGCCTACCTACCCCTGTCTGTCGAGTCGTATTTCCATTATGGTTTATCAAGGTTGCATAACTTTGTTCTTCAAGTTGCCAACCAAGTAATGAATGCATGGGCTACCTGTCCACCAAATATCTAAATGGCGTGTTCAATTGCGTAACTGTTCGTCCCTTACGCCCTCATTACAGATTCGCTTATCACTTTTTTAAAGCTTGCATACATGCACGTAAGTACGTGTAGCTTTCCTGGACGTACATTTCCTTGAAAAGGCTTCCAATTACCGCATCAACTGCGAGAACGCTGTTAGTATGCTACAAATCTGAATGCTTACCATGTACTCAAATAACATTATCTGCCTGGAGCGCAGACCGTACGACGCGCCCTGGGCAGCTGACATGATAAAACGTGATTTCCAAATGAGGACCCACGTCCATGTTCCTAGTGAGATTTTGTTGTTATATTAAATCTGGGCTAAAGAAGAAGTCATCTCGAATTATAGCAGGGCTGCATGATGCACACGAAAGAAACCGATGAAGCCAATGAGAGGGAGCTACAAGATATTCTAAGCATTGTGTTAAACATAGAAATCTGGCCCAACGACAAGCGTTGTACCAATGGGAAGTACCTCTACCGAGCGGCCTACGTTACCAAAACACACACACACACATTGAATTAGACTATTATATAGATGCGACGTATTCGTTGTGTTTGAAGAAAAAGAACCTACAAGCTGCATCATACAGTCACTCTCTTTCACTGAAATCACTGTGAGAGACTCAACGTTGGGTTCCTTGAACACCAATTGTTAGATGCGACAGTTTTATATATCGCATCGCCATTTAACCTAAAATGAGGTTATAATGCTACTTTTTGTCAAAATGTTTTCATTCTTTTTAAATCGTTAGTTAATGGATATACTATCAGCCACCGATACATTCGTATGCCCTTGTCTCCTTTTTGCCTTTCTCACCTATGTACACACACACGCCCACATCCGATTGCGGTCGAGTTAGTGTATAGATGTATGTGTTATATAAACGCCTGCTGTTGTTTATTGCTTTCTGTGTTTCAAACGTTTGTTTCGGTCTTTCTTGTTGTTGTCTTCTATTATTATCTTATATTAGTTATATATATATATATCATCGGAAAGCTTGTTATTTACTATTATCAATCTATGGTTTGTCCGGATCACAAAATATAACTTTCACACTGAGTTATTTAAACTTATTAGATACCCGTATGGTAAAGGCTTTATTGTTAAGAGGCGTATGCCTAACTAACAATAATCGTCCTTCAAAAGTAGCCAAAAGGCAATTTCCTATAAATTATAAAAACTGAAAACGCCTTCGACCCAGACAGATCGGCAACTTTTAAACCTCGAACGAACAAAAAGGTGAGAAAGTCTCTTTAATACTATGCTTAAAATTTTAACTAAGGATAACATTTTGTTAATAATATGATGATAATAGCTAATATAAATAATAAATAATAATAAAATGATAATAGCTTTGTAGAATAAAGAAGGAGCTTTCTTACGAACAATATATAGCACTAGAGTATTAGCAATCGATAAGTAAGAAATAAATTTCAATTACCTATTTACCAAATAAATATTATTACCTATTTAACAGCCTTGTTGTAAAGAAAGTTTTCCCGCTTAAATAGAAAGTACCATTTTTTATTCCTGTGACATCGTATTACGCATTTTTGCCAAGTGATGTACGCCGTCTCGTTAACATTAACCTATGTTACTATTACATTAGCCTATTAACTTCATTTTGGAAAAGTTTTCTAATCTCGTTTTGATCTGTTGATTCATGCCGAAGATAAAACCACGACGGTCGCTGCCCAGTAAACGGAAAAGTTGAAAAATCATCTACACAATTTTGACGGTGTTTGCCACGTGCGACCTCGCGTTGCTGTGGGATGGAGTTAAATAAGCTCGTTTGTCGAGCATATTTACCGAGCACAAATAAGGTGCCGATCAGCAGCTTTGTTTACAATACCCAGCGGAGTACGCCCTGACCGTCCTATCAGGCGCAAAGTATAATCCCTGTAATAAGTAAAAGTCTGGTTGGACCCTATGCCTTGGCTCCTCATTTGGAACCATCTGTTACGATCTCAACTTCATGGCGGCATTCAAGTTCTTATTACTGGTGTCAATTCTATACGAAAATTGGTCATTATGACTGCGTGACACTCGATAGAAGGCGAGATATTGAGATGCAGCATTAAGTCGCAATTCCTTGTTGGATTCAAAGATTTCATGAGGTACCAAACTCCAAATTTCTGTGTAAACCCAATGGATTTAAGATGGTTAATAAGGGTTGTGCGGCTTAATCCAATTTTTGGCCATTGTATGAGTTGTTAGTCTGCTATCTTCCTTCAAAAGCACTTTTAGATGACCTGTTATCAGCCACTGAAATTTGACAAACTAAGCTTGAGCAGCCCCTGACGGTAAAGTCGTTACCGTACATGAGACAAATATCGTGGCCTGTTTCGGTAGCATTTTGACCGATACCGCGGAAGGAACAGAAAATGCTTTTTTTTTTCTACTTCGAGGCATTTATTTCTAAGGCGCTCTTTCGAGTTGCAATATATTGTAGTTGCAGTGTGCTAACAGAGCAGAAAGAGCGTTTGTGAACGGTATATTAAAAACAAACAACACGTGAAGGAAGGTGGAAAAGGTGCGTTTCATGAAGCGTGAAAACTTTTTATCAATTTTCAGCCAATACGGGTGTTTCTTACATTGTATCATGTATATAAAAGGCCTAAGAAAAAGTCTAAACGGTAGAGTGTGAGACGAAAAGAAAGAAGAGAAAAGACATACATATAAGCGTTTGATCGAAGAATTCATAAGACTCCCTAAGGATCAAGTTATGCTTTTCACTCTCATCGAACTCATATTTAAATCTTATTGCCAAATGGAGGAAACAACATTCGAAGGTATATTGCCTTCTATCTTAATAGTATCTTGAAAAGTATAAAAGGCCAAAGCTGCAAAACAGAATGTGGGATAAATTGATCGTATAATAAAAGTAACAGGACATATTTTTTTCCTGAGTTTTTTTAAGATGATAATAGGATTGTTTTTCATTTTAGTTGGAGGCTACACCTTTTCTAGTCTTGTCGGTGCAATTTTGCGATGTCAAGTGACAGACATAGCATGAGTTATTTAGGCAGGCATCTGTGTCGTATCGGCATAAGCAAGATAGGCTGCTATCAACGCGATGAGTCTTAAAAATGCAGATAGGCGTTTTTTGCCTGGCTTAACAAAAGTTTAAAAAATATGGGTATATTCCCTATTAATACACTGCAAAATAAATCTTAAACCCTGAGAAAAGTGTGTGCTTGTTGAGTACCTGTTTTATTATTGAAGCATGGGCAAGTTAAACACGCTTCAAGAGATCATCCCCATATCACTTTGTTTATTCATTCCAGATTTGGCCTTAATACCCTTTAGATCGGCTTATAGTGTATTTTGTAGGATCTAGCGTCCTCTTTATATTACTGTCTAGTTTACGTAAAAGCCTTTATAATAACAGAGGTTCATAGCTAGATCAGCAAATAAGCAAAATCACCGAACAATTTACGCTAGACCTCTTTTCAGTCGCGCTATCATTGATGATCGCGAGTACGCTTCCGTAAGTTGCCTCGTTTTTCCCCAAAAGGTTTTTTAGGATAATCTGTTTGAAAGACGATAATCAGGCTTCACACTAGTGAGGCGAACAAAGCGCATCGTATGATGATTTACAAGGGGCTTTTAAGACGACTAACACTCAATGGCAAATCAACCTAAATTTTCTGCAACAGAAGAAAATTTGTACGTTTTAGATACGATTGGACACAGCAAATTATCTATAGCAGTGTTGAGATAAGGGCTATGGGACATCGTTTCCTGCAATGTCATCTAACAGAAAATAAGAATAAGGGACTATTAAAGGGCAGTAACGTTACGAATTGAAGCAAACTAAGTAAAAAGGACTCTACATTTAAACAAGGGTAGGACGTTTAGTGGCCTTATACGCTTACCTAACAAGCCGAATTTGCTTCAAAATGTGAAGAACGCCATTAATATTTCGTAAAAACTGTTACGGCTACTGGGTATTTGGGCCAAGCAGCGCTCTCTACGTGCATTTTATATGTTGTAGAAGCGGCGCGTATATATCACAGTAGCTTCTGGCTCATGGGTGAGCTATCACAAACTAGTTCGAATATCCGGCTCATGGACTTTCAATGGCCCCTAGAGAATGTCATCTTTTTTTTTCTCGTTGATCGAAGTAATTGTCTTTTTCAGTCCATACTAGCTTATGTGGGTAGAGTTTGGCCCTTTTTTCATTTTGTATTGTAGCCTCTGCTGCTTCTGTAGTGAGTCAACGGGTAGGCAAGCGAATCACAAGTGGATAAGTCCCTACTAATCATCAAAGACGAATGGCGGCGTCCTACAGCACGTCCTATACAACCAGAGATAGCAGGACAGGTTTTCTCATCATTGTTAAAATGGCGCAAAAAGGCCCGGTTGCTTCAATATGCAACTAATTCAAGAGCTAATTTTTCTCTGTTAAATTTTTATATATATTACATAATTTTATATATATATATATATTATATGCTATATAGTTTTAGTGAAAACGGTATGCGCCCATATGACAAACGTAAGGTCGACTATATTCAGCTATTCAGGCCCTTTAATACACATTTAAGGACAAGATACCTTTTAAATAGTCCCTAAAGACGCGCTTCGACAGTGTAAGCAAAGCGATACGATCAGTTCAGCTCCAAAATCTGCTGTCCCGGCTCAAAATAGA